TAAAAAGTAATGTAAATATACAAATTTACCCTTCTTTTATATAAATGTATTATTCTATTTATTTTTAATTTAATAATATGGATAAATGATTTTTTTAAAATAACTAAAATGATTGGTTCATAATTATTCCTACATCCATACAATGATTAGATAGAATAAAATAATATAAGCATATATATATATATATATATATATATATATATATATATATATATATATATATATATATATATATAGCTATTTGATAATTATGCTGTAAAAAACAGCTCCCAAATATGTTGTGACTAATTTAAATATTCATAAATGGTCATAAATATTGTTTTAAGGAAATTTGACTCAATATACTAATATTGCAAACATTATGATCAACTACCTTAATAAAAATGAAAATTGAATTGTCAAGGTAATTTCCTTTTTGTTTTGCTCATATTTGGGTAACTTATTTTTTTGTACGCACACTTAAAGAAATAAGGGCATTAGTGGATGGGCTGCTAATAGTAGAAAACCATGATTCGCGTCAAAACATTCCGGTTAATCGTGTTTGTTGAGCTAGACCTAATCGGACAACTAAAAACGATGTTCGCTTAACGTATTAACAACGACATCAATGGTTGCGACACTGTCGCCGCTAATGCTCCAAAAGTCGCTATTTTTCCCATGTGAGGCACCGCTGCTAAAACACTAATGTCGCCATAAAACCTCCCCGACGCCGCTAATAGTCGTCGCCACTAAAGGTCATCGCACATATACCCCTCTTTCTTCACACTTTCTGTAATATGTTTCTTTCACCTAGCTATTGTCGACGAATGATAACGAAGCAGATTCACCGGTCATGCAACCTCTATCACCAGTACCACAAGATTGCCATCATCAGCGATGGAAGCATTATCACTGATGATGGGTAATTCCTGAATTTTACAGGTGATTCCCAGTTTTTTCCTAATTTCTTTTCTATTCACTGACTTAAGTGACTATTTAATGATTTGGGTGTTTGGTTTTGTGTATTAAGCTTTTTTGACCTCTATTTTTGGGTTGTCATCACGACCACCAAAGCTGTCAGTTTTTTTGCCACCACCGCAACACCCCCACAACACCACCACCATTTTGATTTTGTTCCACCACATGTTCTATTCCATTTCATGAAGTATTCTAATCTCATTCTTCATATTGTACGTATTATGTATGTATGTAATGTGTATGATGTAAGTATATGAAATAGAATCTTTGTATGTATGTATGTTTAAGTGTATTTTGTCTATATTGTAATGTGTATGATGTATGCAAAAAATGTTTGTATAATGAATATGTGTATGGAAAAAATTGAGAAAAAGTAGGATACAATAATGGAAAAAATGAAAAAAAAAAGTATAATACTATAATGAATATGTAATATGTGTAGGAAACATGTTTAAGTGTATTTATATGTATAATGTGTATATTTATGTACGAAAAAACAACAAAGTAGGATGCTATAATGGAATGTATATTTATTTTATTATATGTGTAATGGTATGTATAGAAATTATGTATGTAATCTGTGTGTTTGTATGCAATTTGGATGTTATAATGATATAGATGAAAAAAACAAAGTAAGATGCTATAATGGAAATTATTATTTTTGTATATGTATTTGTATGCAATTTGGAAACTATAATGCTATAATGAAAAAAATGACAAATAAAACAAAGTAGGTTGCTATAATAGAAAGTGTATTATTTTTGTATATGCAATATGTGTAACTTTTATTCATATTGTTATTTTGCAGGCTATATATAGGGTTTAGTTGGGCGATACTCTTCTACAAGATGGCGGATGTTATGGGTCTAGGACATGGAGGTGATGGATCGAGGATCCACCACCTCTAGTATGCTTTGGTCGTGGACAATACGAACATGATGATAAGTCTTATTATGATATATTTATTAGTTATTTTTATTCATTTATTATAAGCTACTGTGATTATTATTTTTAATTATATTTTTCAGTTGAGCTTCCTAAAAAAAAGAGGTCTATCAAAAAATATCTAGCTATCAAAGCCGATACATGTAAACAAGGGAAAGCCCTTGGATTTAGATTTCGACAGGGAGCTTACACATTCCCCTGTCGGGAACCGTAGTAATTGGTTTATTCGTGAGATTGTGAGGTATATGTGGATAAACATCCCTTTGAATGTATTTGGCTGGGACAATGTTCCCCCGACTTTAAGGAATGTCACAGTCGTGCATCTAAAGGTATATTGGATAATATTTGAAGTTTAGTTATGATTGGTATTTAATTAACTTACTTTTTGTATTTGTAGACTAAGTTTGATTTGGATAAGGTTAAATTTGATCTGGAGCGTGCTTAGTTGCTGTAGAGCATTGATGGGAATTTACAAAGAGTTTATAGTGGCCGGAAAAATTAAGCTATACTTATTTTCAGAATGTTGGGGGGCTTAGAGATATCCCAAGGGCATTAGCCAACCCCCCCCCCCCCCCCCCCCCCGCGAGCGTATGTCACATGAAAATTAGGTGCAAGCAGTCAAATGTTTTCAAACTCCCAAAATTTTAAAGTATTCGACGTCAAACAGAAGAGTCTATGCAAAACAAGTTGTAAACAGAGGGGGATCGTGCTCATGTAGCAATGCTTGTTTCAGAGAAGTAAGTTATAATATTTTTAACTGTTTATTTAAATTATAATAAATCTATTTTTTTAAGTTAAATAGGACATCACTTGAATCGAAGCATTTCGTAAGACTAATACTTACCGTCAAGGGGTATTTAGCAGTCCTATAGTCGAGCAACAATATGTAAGCGCGTAATTTTTATTTTCATATAAGTGTTTATATCGTCAAGGGATATTTAGTAATCTAATTTTTATGATGTTTATCATTTTTTGAAAATATAGAATGCTTTACTCCATGAGATCAGTCAACATACTCAAACTTCTTCTGAAGCCAACAATCTAACACTAAAGGATACACAAAATTGTTTTGAAAGAATATTGGGTGTTCGACGAGGCCATATCAGAGGCATTTGGTGTAAACATTCTACGGTTGTGTCGATGTACGATCAGGAACAAGCACTGACACAACCACCACCACAATTACAGGTAACAAGACTATTTAGTTTTGGTAATTGTTTCAAATATTGGTAATTGTTAGTTTAATAATAGTTTCAGATGTTGGTAATTGTTAGTTTGATAATAGTTTATATGTTGGTAATTGTTAGTTTGGTTATAGTTTGATATATTAGTATTTTGTAGTTTGGTAATTGTTAGTTTATGAAAGTACAATGCTATAATGGAAAAAATGAAAAAAGGTACAATGTTATAATGTGTTATATGTAATATGTGTACTTTGGTAATTGTCGGTTATAGTACAATGCTATAATGTGTTATATGCAATATGTGTAATTTTGGCAATTGTTAGTTTATGAAAGTACAATGCTATAATGATATTTTATAGTTTGGTAATTGTTAGTTATATTACAATACTATAATGTGTTATATGCAATATGTGTAATTTGCTAATTGTTAGTTTATGAAAGTACAATGTTATAATGGTATTTTGTAGTTTGGTAATTATTAGTTATAGTTCAATGCTATAATTTGTACTTTGTTTGTATGTAGAATGTATATTTTGTATATAGAATGTTATAATGTTGATTTAACTTATAAGACTATGTTGTTTTCTTTGTAGTTAGACATGCTTCAAATAATGTTAAATGATTTTGCATGTCGTGCCGCACTTGAAGAATGGTTTCGTTCGTTGCCACAACGAAATGAAACCAGAGGAAACGATCAAGGAGAATGATGATGACGAGTAGCCACTTGTAGGATTTTTGTATTGTTTTGTTTGTATAAATATTTTAGACTAGTATTTTGCGTTATGTTAAATTGGATAAGTATTTTAAGCGGATGTTGGATTAATATTTTGGAATAGAAGGATGTGGTATTAGATTAATTAATATCATAACAGTTTTTATACTTTTTATATAGGTTTTTTCAATTTTAATGTGAAGTACATAAAAAAAATAAGGAAAATACCAATACCGGCGACGCTTTTAGTGGCGACACATGATTATTAGCGGAGACAATACTTTAGTGGCGACGCCCGCTAAATAAGCGCGACATGTCGCATTAGTGGCGACATTTAGAGTATTAACGACAAAGCATCAACAACAGACTTTTAGCGACGACGAATCGCTGCAAATAGTATTAGTGGCGACAAACACCAGTTTTAGCAGTGACGTCTGTCGTCGGTATTACTCTAATTTCTAATAGTAACAACTAAATAACGAACTTGTTGAAAGTGTTCATACATAACTATTACGACTGGATGTAACCTACTACAAAATGTAATAATATTCCTTTCCCTTATAACATTCCAGGTCGATAATTAATAATATAATAATATAGAAAGGACAAACAAAAAACTTTGTTTGTATATGAATCCTATGTATAATTATTATAAGAATTGTTTTATTTTTTTATTGTGGAAGAGTCCGACTTCCATAAAATTTTTTTCGTTTATGTATTGTTTTGTGAATTTACTAAACTTACTCAACTGCACATATAAATATGAATATCATGTAAATTTAATTTGTCTAGATCAATGATCATATATATATATATATATATATATATATATATATATATATATATATATATATATATATATATATATATATATATATATATATATATATCATTAATTAATATTCATCCTTAACATGAAATGAAAATCATGTAAACCAAGAAATCTATAGATATGGTACGAATTTGTACACAAGAGTCGGATTATTGCGTAAAGTTTAGATTCATATTGTTAATGTCAATTAGCTTAAATTTTGAAGATTATTTTATAATATCTCAGGAAAAAATATAAATTTTGTATTTAAGTTTTTGGGTTATTTTGGATCCAAAAATCATGCATGGTATTTTTCTTAGTTCTTTGTTTTTTTTGTTTGCTTTTTAAATCTAACACTATATATTGCTACATCTTCATTTTCCTATCAGTAATGAGGATGATTATGGCGAAGCTCCAAAGATTTGGAAGGATAAGGCAACTTCACACAATCATATCTCAAGAAATCATCAGACCATCATCCCCAACACCTCAACACCTCAGAACTCATAATCTTTCATTACTCGATCAGTTTGCTGCCCACATTCACATGCCAATTGTATTTTTCTACCCAAACTATAACAACGGCAACCCCAACATCCTAAAGAAGTCGTTATCACAGTGTTTAACACAATACTATCCGTTTGCAGGTAGGTTTCCTGGGCCTCATGCCTCTCACATCAACTGTAATGACGAAGGAGTTGAGTTCTTGGAAGCTTCTATTGACACCCGTCTTGATGACTTCATTCTTCAGAAAGAGAAAGAAGAAATCCTTGATCAACTCATTCCTAGCGTTCACAACACTAGCCCTAATTTGGTCGAGGTCCAACTCAACCATTTCGCTGGTGGTGGAGCCGCAGTGGCTGTGTCCATATCGCACAAGGTAGCTGATGGATTCACGATGGTCAACTTCTTCAACCACTGGGCCACTGTTACACGTGGTGGATCTCCAATAAATCCAAGTTTCATATCTTCCACCATAAGTAACACCAAAATGCCTGAGTTTGAGCTTAAAAGCATAGAGAAACTTAACTATGCAAGAAAGAGATTCGTGTTCCCCAATGCCAAACTAAATGAGCTCAAAAATAAGGTTAACGCGATGCAAGCAACTCCGATGAACCCTACTCGGGTCGAATTAGTGACATCTCTACTGTTCAAATGTGCAGCGGGTGCAGCGACAACAAAATCAGGCTCTTCAAAGCCAACAAACTTGTTTCATACGGTGAACTTGAGGAGCAAAATCATCAAAAATTGTCAAGAAGTAGCAGCAGGCAACATAAGTACAATGGTGATAGCAAACATGGCGGATTCAGGTGCAATCAAGCTGAATGAGGTGATTACTAAGTTGAGGAATGGGATCATGGAGCTAGAAGGATTAAGAGATGTGCAAGAAGCAGCTGGAAATTTGTTGGGCAGATTGTCGATGTTAGCAGGTGATCATGAAACTCGAGCGTATACTTGTTCAAGCTTGTGTGGTTTTCCACTTTACGAATTGGATTTTGGATGGGGAAAGCCGCTAGAAATAATGGTAAGATTTCCTGATGTGAATGACAGTTGTATCCTTCTGATGGATACTCCATCTAGAGATGGTATTGAAGCACTACTTCGTCTGCAAAAAGAAGAAATGGCCATCTTGGAAAAAGACCAGTCGCTTCTTGCATTTGTTGAAGACATCTGAAAATGTGTGTTTTCCTTTGGTCAATAATTTTATAAATTGTACTTGAAACCAGTCGAGTGGTTGGCATTCATATCAGCCAATTAATAATTAATGATCGTATTTATGTTCAGCTCAATTATGGATTATTACTTGATGATTTTTGGTTCGATTGATTGCATACTTCCATTAATTGCTAGTCTGAAAAGTCTAATTTAGCGTACTGTTACCAAACGAATGCTTAGAGAACTTTTATATTATTGGATTTTTTAATTGTATCTATAACCGAACTTTTATATTATTTTCATTTTTTAATTGTATCTTTAACCAAACCAATATATAGAAGTTAACGTCCAGCTGTGCATAGATTTATACTAAAACATGACATTGTGCAATACATATCCACAAAACAAGAGAATATTTAACTGGCGATGTCCAACACAAAGCCAAATACCATATTACACTATTTTGAATTTGTTAATTGTTATTATTAACTATTGAAGTTTTAGGAGTTGACGACAAGCTTTGCATTGATATTTTTAAGGTTACACATGAGTTGTGACATATAAAATCATATTACTCGATTTCTAATTACCATTCAAATTAAAAACAATTACCATCTAATATACCGATTTTTATATACCCTTGATACACGACGTAAATACTACCAAATACCTTTGCAACATTGTATCAAATACTTATCCTTAATCATTATCTATATACAACGTAGTCCTATACAGTTCCCCACTTTACTCCCTTTAACGCCCCCCATGTCTATATCTCATGGTTATTAAAGCCATTTCATTTTTTTTAACGACAAATTAACATATTCCTAAGGGTAAATTACATCAATTGTCTCTCGTGAATATGCCAAAATGTGTGCTTAGTTTATATTTTCAAAAATTAACTTGTATCGTCTCTCGTTTGGATTTGATATGAACTTGCTTCTCAAATCTAAATATCTATCTTCTATGATTTATAGGTTTAGGGTTTAGATAGGTTTGATTTTATGGTTTAGGGTTCGTTTTTTTTAAGTTTGAGTGATGGTTGGTGGTGGTTGCAAGGGGTGTTCGCAAGGACAGGTGGAGGTGTTGGAGCGTAGAAAGCGAATATGGAAGAGACAGAGAGAGTAGTCCATAAGAGAAAGATATATATATATATATAAAGAGAGAGAGAGAGAGAGAGAGAGAGAGAGAGAGAGAGAGAGTGAGGGAGATTACTGATCAAATTCAAAGAAGAAGAATAAAGGAAATTAGGGAATGTAATCCCCTCTCCGTCTCTATCGTCGATAAAGAAGATTTGAGTTTGATCTTAACTTGCTTCTCCGATCTAAATCTTCATCTTCTATAATTTATAGGTTTAGGGTTTAGTTAGGTTTGATTTTATGGTTTAGGGTTCGTTTTTTTTAGGTTTGAGTGATGGTTCGTAGTGGTTGCAAGGGGTGTTCGCAAGGACAGATAGAGGTGTCGGGGCTTAGAAAGAGGATATGGAAGAGATAGAGATAGTAGTTTATAAGAGAGAGAGAGAGAGAGAGATAGATAGAGAGAGAGAGAGAGAGAAAGAGTCAGGGAGATGACCGATCAAATTCAAAGAAGAAGAAGAAAGGAAATTGGGGAAATACACCTCGTCAACTAGAATCCCGAAAAAAGTAGGTGGTAGCGACAGTTGGTGGCAGTCGGAAAAGAGAGAAAAAGAAAGGTTTGTCTCGTCGGAGAAAGGAGGAAGAGCGTCCAAGTTCGGTTGTTGTTGGCAGTGAGTTTAAATGTGAGAGAAGAAGAAGGAAACTGGAGTAAGGAGGAAAGGAAGGGGTAGGATGTTTTTTTTCCTTTTTTTTTTTTTTTAAAATCTAAAAATTTATAATTAAGTAATAGAAAAATAAAAAAAAGAAATTACTAAGGGTAAAATAGTCATTTTATGTCAATATAGACTAAAAGTGCAATAATAAACAAATCCAACAACGATCCGAGTTAATTTTTGAAAATAGAGATTAACCGTACGTTTTGGCACATGTACGAGAGACGGATGATATAATTTACCCTATTCCTAATTACTACATATGTCTCGTAGTGAAACTTTAACTCATAACATCTCATTTGAAAGAATCATTTTTTACCTTTAGGCTAAAGACCCTTTGGTTAATGTCATTTCATTTATTTTATTTTTCAGTCTCATAGTCTCATCCATGGAATGTCAAACATTTTACAAAAGCTAGTATCCCAACTAAAACATTAAAACGAAAAAAACAAAATTTATTCGTAACAAAAATCTCTCATATCTTTACTAATAAATATTTTTAGAAAAATCTAATAAAATAAAAATATTCACTAAAATACTAAAATAACATATATATATATATATATATATATATATATATATATATATATATATATATATATATATATATAAAGCGATTCTGTATATTCAGATCTACACATTTGATTGCCACGAAATTCTCAACCATACCTACCAAAATCGATTCAGAAAAACCCGATTAATATATATCAATCGCCAAAACTCTAAAACCCCGGAACCATGAGATTAGGATCTCTACACATCGTCGCTTCACCAAGATTGGTTAGCCTCAAATGTTGTTTAATGGAAGTTCTCGTCTTGCTCTGGAAGTTTTGTTTTTATTTTCTAGGTTTTACTTAGAACAAGGGGAAATTGATGGTGATGGTGGAATAAATAACAATTTCTAAGTGATGGGAAGGGTTGTAATCATATTCGAATTGTTTGTATTAACTATAGTTGTGAAGGACATGATTTTGAGCGACTGGAAGGGTTGAATAAATCTTTAGTTATAAATGTGTATGACTTTTGTATAAATGTTCATTTATATATGTTAGGTCATAAATTGTGGTTTATACTTTTCTTTTCATAGATATTAGAGTTCTCGGTCTTGGACCGAAAACAACATGTTTTCGATGGTGTTTGGACCGAAATCACAAGTGATTTCGGTTAAGCTTTTGGGTTTTGGGTTGGGCCTTTGTTATTTAGGTCTAGGTATATATAGCCTATTATTAGGCATGTAAAGGCGTAAACGTGTAATTGTCATCATCCAAGAACGTGTTCTAGAGAGAAACAGAGAGAAAACCGAGTGTAATCCGAATCTTATGTACTAGATTATCATTGAATATAGTGTGCATTGAAGATTCATCTTGTGTTCTTGTTCCATATCTCGTTTTGCATTAATCATCAGATTGGGATTTTGCTCCAATTCTGGTGAATCTGATTGATACGTCACGATTTGGGTTTTTACAGTTGGTATTAGAGCTAAGGATTGGTATCAATCGGGTTATTGCAAAATATTAACGGTTTTTGTTGGAGCTTTTTGGTGTTTTTGATTTATTTTTGACAAAGTTTTTGCCATTTTTCTTCATGTTTTTCACTAATTTAGGGAGTTTAGTCGAATTTGGGAACAAATAATTGAAAATTTCATGTTTTTGGTATGTTTTGGGTGTTTTTGGTCAAAAATTTGCAAGATCTTGGCGGCAGACCTCGGTCTTCGGTCAAACCCTAGGAGATCTCGGCGGCCAACAACGATTTTGGTTAGGGCGCGTGTTCTTGGTCAGGTTCTCGGTTTCACCTCGTTCTCGGTCCGCAACCTCGTAGGTTCTCGATGCGCCTTCAGTTTTCGGATCTTTTTTCAAGATCTCGGTTAAGAGTATTCGTTCTTCCATTCTCGTTGATATTCTCAGATTTTCAAGATTTCGGTTAAGAGGCCTCACATTCTCGGTCTAAAACTTAGTTTTCGGTCCAAAAGCCACGTTTTCATTCAAATAACCTTGTTTTCGATCCTAAAGCTTTGTATTCGGTCAAAAAGCCACATATTCGGTCAAATACCCTCGTTTTTGGTCTTGAAGCTTCATTCTCGGTCTAGAAACTTTTGTTCTTAGTCAAGGTTATTCTTTAGACAAAAAGTTTAACTTTCAAGTTTGACATTCAAGTTTGACTTTCAAGGTTTCAAGTCAAAGGGTATTTTTTTGGCTTCACAATTAGATCTAATTTTTTGGTAAAATTATTCTTTTTGGTGAATAATGAGTTCTTCAATCACCAAGGTAAGTGAAATATCATTTTCTCATTTATGTGAAGATAAAATAAATCATTACCGTGAACAAAAAGAATTATTGGTAGGAGAGGTTTTTGACCTTAAAAACGAAATCTACAATGTTAAGAAACTTAATAAACCTCTTAAAGAAAAAGTAGATGCTCAAACTAAAGACCTAAAAAGAATTAAAGAGGAATATATAATTAAATGTGAACACTACGATTATGCTGAAAAGAAAATTATCAAATTAACTACCGAACTTGATGCATTAAAAGGTTAATATAAAGATGCTGAATTTAACTTTAAGAAATTTGATGTGTCAAGTGAGGTAGTTGTGTCCATGATAGAAAAACAGTTAAAATTTAAAGATAATCATAATAAGGGTCTAGGGTATCATAGTGTTCCACCTCCCTTCAATGATAACTATACCCCACCCCTTGAAAACAATGAGGTAGAGATACCTGCTCAGTGTGCCCAGCCCCCTGTTCTAACTTCAGTTAAGACTGAACAATCCGGCCCAACTGAGAGTATTGAGGTGAGCGATACTAATGCTTCTACTTCCTGTGCAGGTCAAGTAGTGGAAGATGAGAACAAGGAGAACAAAAATAGTTCTAGTTCTGTTAATTATGTTGATTGTCTAAACAATATCTCTTTGAACTCTGAATCTATTGCTTCTAATTTTGTTACTTCTAATAAACCTGTTGTTGGTAAATACAGGCCACTAAAACAAGTAAAACAGACTGCTTGTTGTAAGTGTGCTTGTAGAAACAATCAAAGACAAGGCATGGGAACGCTACCAGGGACAGACAGAAACAACTTCTACGTGAATAAACATACATGTTTCCACTGTGGAACACCTGGACACATTGTTAGAAATTGTCTAAATCATGTGTATATTCCCTACTACAAACAAGGTTGGGAGAATGTGCTAATAGGGAGATCCTCCAAAAGAAACCCTTAGAGGTCACGTTCACAC